TTAGTTTTTTTTGTGTGTGTCAACTGTACTCATATACAATATACACAATATTTTGTGTCCCATTCTTCAACAAATATGACAAATTTTTGGAAAATTGAATCAAAGCCACCACACTTATTTAATTTTCAATTAAATGCAATTGAAATAAACTCATGTTTGTGAAAATTGCAACACCATGAAAGACTTACGGGAGTGAGCTGAAATTTTCAGAAAATGCAACGTAGAGCATGATATACAAATGATTAGAATTTCAGACCCTTAGTGCATGCGTATGCTGAGCAGCGCCCTCTGAACGGCTGATGGATCCGAATCATAGAGTTAAGAGTATAAGTAGAGATGACATTTCCCACCCTCCTATGAGTAGAAACTGAAGTAACTGTCGGCCATCTTGGATTATGCAAAGCATTCATTGTAAGCTATGGTTGCATGGCTAAAAAATGGAAGTTTTTAAATGTCAAGCAAACCTTAATTTTTTCATTGCTTTTAGTTACACGCTCCTCATTTATTACAATTTAATATTTATAAAAATAACATAACTAAAGATTAAATTTAATCATTTTTATGCCAAATAATCTAATATTTTATGTATGTAGATTTATTTTTTTGACATATAAATAAAAAGAAAAAAAATAGTTTAAATTAAAACGCTTTTTATTTTAAACTGTTACTTTTTATTTAATGCTTAAAAAAGAAAGAAAAAAAGTTTTTTGTTAGTAATTTTTTCATGCATTTAATAATTTTGGAAGACAAACTTTCCCTTTCATAAATTATATCCCTCAATTGAAGCAGTCATTTTTTGTTGATTGAATCCTCATAGGAAAATAATTGAATTTTAATACTTTAATAAAAGTTGTAAAAAAACATTTGATAATTATTAAAAAACTTGAATTAAAAGCTTTATATATTATTATATTCATTTTATATATTTCCTTTATTCAATAGAATAACACTGAACTTTAAATTCTTTTTCTCAGTTCATGAAAATGAATTTCATATTTTATTCTTAAAAAATACACAGACATAAAAGAAAAATAAATAATTTTATTTATTTTTACATTATATACCATCAATTTCCATCAATATATCATCATTAAAGTAAGTACTATCAGAGTTTATTAGTCAAGAATAATAATTCTTCACTCACAAATATGAATAATATATGTTGGTTATTCGACAGTAAAATATTGCATTAAATGTATTACAAGTGATAAGAATTTAAAAATATACACTTATTTATACACACATTTTAAAGTACACAAAAAACAAAAATTTAAAAGAACGTAACTTTATTGTTAACAATTTTTTCATTCATTTATTAATTTTAGAAGAAAAACTTTCCCTTCATAAATTATATCCCTCAATTGAAGCATTGTCATTTTTTGAAAATAATTGAATTTTAATAAGAGTTGTGAA